AGGGAAGGGAAGGGAAGGGAAGGGAAGGGAAGGGAAGGGAAGGGAAGGGAAGGGGTGTGAGCAGCCCAGGAGGGGAGTGCTGACTGCACAGGTCTCTGTTCGGCAGAATGACTCATCCTGACGATGACACCGGAGATTTTTAATTATTGAGAGCGCTGCAGGTTCGGCAGCTGCGGGGCTGGGGCCACGGCAAAGGATGCAGCACTGGGAACACGGAGAGCTCAGGGGGACAGGGGGACACTGGGCTGGGCCTGGCTCCCTCCGGGCTGGGAAGGGGCTGGGTTTGGGTTGATGATGAGGAATCCACTCTCTCATCGGTGAAATGAGGGTGGAGGGTCTCAGCACAGCTGGGAAAGCACTGGGGTGCTCTCAGAAGCCCGAGGAGGAGGCATGGGGTGGGATGAGAGCATGGGCAGGCTGGAAGGAAGGTTTGGGAAGGGGATGGAGCCACAAAATGTGGCTTTAGGACCCATGGAAATGGAGGGACTTGTCTCCTCCCTTTACTGCCCTGATTTCCAAAGGAATCAGGTGTTGCAGTGGGAAATCCTGGCTCCTATGGGGAATTCATCCTGACGCTGGAGTGGGAAGGTGGAGAAACTTCAGGAAGAGGCTGTCCTGGAGATTCCCACATCTCAGCACAGCTTCTGGCAGCCATTCCCCCTTCAGAGCCCAAACAACCCATTTTAGAGCCCAAATAATCCATTTTAGAGTCTAAATAATCCATTTTAGAGCCCAAATAACACATTTTGGAGCCCAAATAACCCATTTTAGAGCCAAATAATCCATTTTAGAGCCCAAATAACACACTTTGGAACCCAAATAACACACTTTAGAGCCCAAACAACCCATCTTAGAGTCCAAATAACACATTTTAGAGTCCAAATAAGCCATTTCAGAGCCCAAATAACCCACTTCTGAACCCAAATAACACAGTTTCAAGCCCAAATAATCCATTTCAGATGCCAAATAACCCTTTTCAGTGCCCAAATAACCCATTTTAGAATCCAAATAACCCTTTTTAGTGCCCAAATAACCCATTTTAGAATCCAAATAACCCATTTTAGAGCCCAAATAACACACTTTAGTATCCAAATAACCCATTTTAGAGACCAAATAACACACTTTAGAGCCCAAATAACCCATTTTGGAGCCCAAATAACACACTTTAGAGCCGAAATAGCACACTTCAGAGCCCAAATTACCCCTATCCCATCCCAGGACCCCCACCCCAACACGCAGCGAGGCAGGATTGGGTCGCACCCCCTTCTCCAAGAACTGATCCCCTCCCTGCCCCTCTCTCACCTCCTCCATTCTTCTGGCACAGGTAGGGGAAGCGCCAGACGTTGCCCAGCCCCACGGAGTAGCCGATCTGCGCCAGGATGTACTGCAGCTTGCTGTTCCACGCCGGCCGGTTCTCCGCATCCAGGTCRTCATCACCCTCCTTCTGCTTGTCCCACGCCTCGCCCGTCACGTTGAGGACGCTGCGTTTGTAGTCCACGGGCTCCTGGTGGGCCAGCAGGTCGGCCACCGACTCGGTGACATGCTCGCTGCTGTGCTCCCGCTGCGTCACCTTGCTGTTTTTCGGCATGGGGACGGCTCCGGGGCGGGATGGGGTGAGGGAAGAGCAGCGATGTCCCGCAGGGAATGGCGTGTGGGTGAGCTACAGCTCGGGCTTCACCTCCTCTTCATCAGCAGGGCCTGCGTGGGGAAGGGGCAGCTGGGGTCAGTTGGTGTTGTCCTGTCCCCGGGTGTTCTGGTGGGACTGGCGGCACCAGGGGAGAAGGGTCTGCATCTCCCCGTGTGATTGATGCCTGATGATTTTTGCCTTTCCTTTTTATGTAGSTTTTTATATATTTTATATATTTAGACATTTCTGTACCCTTTATGTATCCCTGAACCCTTGTAATTCCTGCAGCCTGATATTCCAGCTGAGTTTTAGGGTTCTGCTGGGCAGAGAGACCAAACATCCTCAGTGAGGGGTCAGTGTGCCCTGTGCTATCTCAAACCTGAGGCTCCAGCCTTGAGTGAAGCCTTCTGTCTGGAACATCCTGTGTAAACTGGGCTCTGGCCTCATCTGGGGGGTGGGATTCATTAGAATAGGGGGATATTACTTCATTTGTTAAATTTCTTATTGGGAAATCCTAAATAGATATGCTAATTTGTGAAATCTGTAAAACTTGGATCACTGCTATTACACGTGTGTGCATTCTGCCATTAAGTTGTGCACCTGGGATCCCAAATCCCGAGGTAAAACCCTTGTTCTCCCCTTTACCGTGTCTGTGTCATTATTGAAACTGGCCCATCAAGGCAACACATGTCTGGGGAACCTTCACCTGAGCCTGGAGAGTTCCGTTCTCCAGGACTGATGGACCAGGAGCAACGTTCTKGTTGAGGATTACAGAATCCCAGAATGGTTTGGGTGGGAAGGGACACCTTCCACTGTCCCAGGTTGCTCCGAGCCAAATCCAGCCCAGCCTTGAACCCTTCCAGGGATGGAGAGGAGTCTCCTGGGCCCCAGAGAGAGGAATTTCCCTGGGCTCCAGGGGCAGTGGCAGGCGATGGAGCCGATCTAACACCCCTCTGACCTCTCCAGACCTCACAAGGGCTGACACCAAATTCAGCCCTGGCCGAGGCTCTGCCCTCCCTGCCCCTCTCCCTCCCCTCCTGACCATCAGCACAGCCCGGGCTCAGCTCCACGACAGCTTGGAAGCACTCAGGGGACAGTGACAAATACCCAGGCTATCTCTGCATCCTGGGAAKTTATCAGGAGTGACTTCAAAGCCTTGCAGCCTGATGCTAAATCTCCCCAGGCAGCTTTACAACAGATAACGGCTGCAAAAGAGCGGCAGCCAAGGCAGAGCCGTCAATCCTGGCCCCTCTGCTTTCCCAGCCTGCAGCGTGGGTCAGCAGGAGCAATCCTGCGTGGAAGCACCTCAGGAGGTGCCCACAGACCAGCCAGCCCTGCAGATTTCATTCCTGCCTCAAAAATACTGGGACATCGTAGAAATCTGCTCTGCCGGGGCAGGGATGCCCAAACTGGGAAAGTACCATGTCCCTCCTGTCCTTACTAGGAGAACTGGGGAGCTCCCACCCAAGACTGGGCCCCGGTGCTACGCCAGCAGGGGAGAAAACACAGAAATTTGTCTTTATTATGATAAATCCCTCATCTCATGTGACTCTCCTGAAGAGCTGCGCTCCCTCCTTTCCTGTCCTCTGCATCCCCACTTCCCACGGGACACCCGGCTGGTGGCTGCGCTCGGGGACCTGTCCCACCCCAGCTGGGCGGCAGCACCATCTCCCCCACCCTGAGGGCTTTTCCAGAGCCATTCCCAACTCTTTATTTCTTCAGGCAAATATTTCTGATCCAATTCAGGCCACAATCCCAACGCTTCCCAGGGCAGTGGGTTCAGCCCAGGCGGCAAAACCCATCCCCACCCCATGCACGGTTACAAAGCACCGTGAGCCGGAAACCTCCCCCTCACCCACCCTCACTTGGTGGTTTTTCACCCCTGAAGGAAGTTCCCTCYTTGCCAGGCCCTGTTCCTATAAGAAAAAAAAAATCTATTTTCAACTGTTGGCTGCATCCGTTGCCAGGCAACCCTCTCGGCTCCCCATCTCTCCTGGATCCGRCTCCTCCGGAGGAGCCGTCTGAGTTATCCTTGCGAGCCCAGGCCAGCGATGTTTGATTTCCTAACGACGGCTCATTCACACGAACCGCTCGCTGCTCATCGYGGCAATTACCGGCACGATCGCGGCAATTASCGGCACGATCGCGGCAATTASCGGCACGATTACGGGMACGTGGCCGCCCGGGGCTGGAGCATCCTCGGCCGGGATGGGGCCGCGGAAGGGCCGCACCAGCGGCCAGGAAAGCCCAGGATTTCCATCAGGTTTGGCTCAGGCTCTGTGTGGATTCGGGCAGAGCTGGGTGAATCACCCGCGGGTGGTTTGCTGCTCCCTTCGGAGCGCCAGGGCTCGGCCTCGGGGCTGGAGGRTCTCTTAGGATCAGGGATAGAGCCAAGGATGTACTCTCAAGCCCCCAGAGCTCAKTGCCCCACTGAGGGCACCCAAATGGCTCTCCTGGGACACCTCAACCCCTTGGAGGTGCCCAGCTCCAGGAAAGGTGATGCTGAGCCACCTTGGAGTCGGGACACACCCCACAACATCCCTCGGGATCTCAACACTTCCTCTCCTCAGTTTAGATCCCTATTGAGTTGCTCTGAGGAGCTGAGAGGCAGCAGGACACCAGTCCTGGAGGAGCAGGGTCCTTCCTGCACCTCCAAAACCCCAGAGGCTCCCAGAGCCTTGCAGGACACTGCAGACAGCGACATTCCCAAAGGATCTGGGCAAGCAGCAGGGGTACTTGGCTGCTGTAACGGGGTGGGGAAAGGATCTCTGAACATTGGGATGAGGGTGAAGGACAGAGCTGTGAGTCTTCCTGCCCGTGGGACATGACCCCAAACTAAACCAGAGCGGAAAACCGTGACAGAGATTTCCAAATCTCAATCCTGGAACGGCCCTGGCTCAGTGTCCCCATGGCTTTTTTGGGGAGTTCCTGCTGTCCCACAATGGCTCAGCCCCAGCCTGGGCATGGCRGTGCTGCCTGGCGGAGATCCAAGCCTGGAGGGGAGAGGATCCTTCCCGGCAGCGATGCTGTGAGCACACCCAGCCTTTGCCAGCCCCATCCCCACCGAGCTGGGAGCTGAGCCCAGCCAGAGCCCGCACGAAGCCACCAACCCACGCGGCACAGGGACACGATCCAGGGAAAGCCAGGTCAGCACCGCTCTTCCTATTCATTTCCCCGGCCTTTCGCATCAGCCCCGAGGTCTGCGCCCTCGAACAGAAAAGCACAGTCCAAATCCATCTGGGAAAGGTATTTCCACGCATTTCTTTGATTGAAAGGGGAATTTAATCAAAAATTCATCTGCCAAAAATAACAACCACCCTGTGAGAAAGACAAGGCAGATCAGCTGACAACCAGGAGCTTTCCGGGCTGGAGAGAGATAGAAAACCCTTGTCACTGACAGATGGAGATTCAGCTTGTTTACTTAGTCCCTATGACCTTAATTTTCTTAAATGTGCATTTTTTCTCTCTCTTGGGAAGACAGATTAGGGTCTTTCAGAGCCCATGGCTTGCAGGAGCCTCGCTGGTGTTGCCAGAGCAGGGCTGTCTTGGCACCCACAGCTTTGCCCAGGTGAAACCAGYGCTGGTGTCACCCATCTGGAGAGGGAATGTGGCTTTTCCCACAGCAGGACTGGGGAAAGCACCAGTTTGTGGTCAGTACTGGGGAGACATTGGGACAGCATCACTGGGATAACTGACCTCCTCCTGCTCCRTGTCCTGGGGTATGTCCTTGAACAGGATTCCCAATTCCATGGCCCCATGGATACCTTCATATCCAGCCCCTCCCAAAGCAATTCCCTGAGCCTGGAGCAGATCCCTCTGCTGAGCCCACGGCTCTCACTTGCACTGTGACCATTGCTCTGATGCCTTAGGATTTTTAGCTTCTATATTTTCATGTATCTGTATTCTCATACTTCTCCAGTGTACAGTGCTGAGCTTCTGTTCTCCCATCTTTAAACAAAACAATTCCTCTCTGGGCCCGAAATGCAAGGACACTTCACTGCCTCAGATCCCCAAAATATGGAAACAACAGAGAATGGGGGGAGCAGCTTGGGGTGGTTGACATCATCACCTGAAGGTGTCATTGGAGAATTGGGGCCCGATGTGTTCATGAGACAGAATTGATAAAAGGGGAAGATCTCGTGACTCGGGGTCCATTTTGGGTGTAGCCTCAGGAGGAGGCTTTGTCTGCCCTCAATGTACCTGCAGGCCTGGATTAAATCTGTCTGCTTTTATTCTCTTCACTTTGTCTGGCCTCTGTTTCAGGTGGGCCCTGTTTCAGGCATCAGTTTCTGGCACCGCAGATGGCATCACCTCTCCATGTCCCCCTGGCCAGGTGACACAGGGTGGCCTCAAGCCCCAAATCCCTCTGGACTGCCCTCAGTGGATGCAAGGCCCGTTGAACTGGTTTGCCATGGGACAAACTGGGTTCAGCCCAGCAGGGAAAGGGCAGGGATGGAGAAGCTCCTGCTCTGTTACACCCAAGGGGTTCAACCCCTGCCCAGAGGCTCACATCGATCCCAAAAGCATCTATGGGGGGGGGGAAGCTGCTCTTTGGGATGAGTGAAAAGCCCCACACACCCCCAGCCCTGCCAGTAGCATCACGGAGGGGTCAGGGGAGGAGGGAGGCTCTGAGCCACGTGTCCTTGTCTCAGCCCATCCTTGCTTTCTTGGGAAGCAATAAACAGGCTGGAAATGTGTCAGCAAAGCTTTCAGGCGGACCTGGGAGTGCAGAGAAAGGCAGGGAAGGGATGGGGATTTACAGCACAATCCAAGGGGGGCAGCCACTGGCACCAAACGTGCTCTGAGTCCAAAGGATGGGGTGGGGTGTGGAGTGGGGGGATTTCTCCTCTCCCATGTCCAAATTCTACATTTGTTCCCTGTTTGGGTCCAGAAGGAGAAAACTGAGGCAGGAAACACCCCAAGCAGAGATTGGGTGAGYTAAAAATCAGCATTTAAAGCCCTGGGGACTCTCTGCTGGTCCCTCCCTGCCCCACCATTTCTCCCCCTTCAGATTCCACACAAATCCCCCCCAGCTCCTCCAGGAAAGAGGAAAAAKGTTCTGGTGAAGCATCAGCAGGCCTGGGAAGGTCCAGCTCACCCCATCAAGGTCACAGAGCAGGGGAGGGAGGGAGGAGTGAAGACAGAGGAGCTGAGGGATTTCAAGAGGTGGAAATCTACTCTCGGCTCGGAGCTCGGAGATCTGAGCATCAATTTGCAGCTCCTCATCCTCCCTGACACACAGAGCCTGGGAAATCCTGCACCCAGGGCCGGGCTGCTCGGTGCAGATGKGGAGACGGGAACGGGGAGGGGAAGGGACGGATCCAAGGTCACCCGGGAAGGCAGCGAGGCAGGGAAGGAACACGCAGCCCTCCCGTCGTCCCTCCGCGCTGCACAGCCCAGAGCCGGGGCAAGGAGCTCTGCACAACCCGCTTGGAGCCCAAATTGTGAGAAAAGGAGCTCCAGGCCCCCTCCTGCTGCTTGCTGAGGTCAGGAGAGTCTCTGTGGTGAGACAGGGATTGATCCTTTGGGAAGCATCCCGCTCTTCTGAGCCGCAACAAACCAAGGGCAGGACCCTCCCAGCAGCACCCAAACTCTCTCCAAAGCCCCAAGAAGAGATTTTTGCCCAAGGCAGAGTTTTTGYAGCTCTGACCCCCTGCCCTACGCTGCCCCGAGGACTTTCCTGTCCCYTCTGTCACACAAACTTCCCTTTTCCCCCAGATATATCTGGTCCAAGACTCCTCCATCTTAAATTTGCTCCATGCTGGGGTTTGCTCCTCCCTGCTCGGCCTCTGGCTCCTAGGGGGAGCGTTTTACCATCTGGGCTCATTAGGGCTGCTCCCATTCTCCCCTCGTTATAATGAGCCGTGCTAATTAGCACCCAGCTCCCATCACTCTGCCCAAAGGACGCGGGGTGACTCGGGGGTGACTCGGTGCCACCAGGGCCGTCCCCTCCTCACTCCCACCCCCGGGGAGGCACAAACTCCGGATGGGGTGRGTGTGAGAAGCTGGGAGAGCACGGGGACACCTGCGAGAAGCTTCACTGGTGTGGGAACCACCCCTGCAGCGGATCCGAAGCCCGAGGAACTGGTTTGCCATGGGATAAAGTGGATTTAACCCGCCAGGGAATAGGCCAGGCGTGGAGAAGCTCCCAGGGGATTCAATCCCTCCCCAAGGGCTCCCATCGATCCCAAAAGCATCCACAGGGGAAAGTGGCTGTTTGGGATGAGCGAAGAGCCCCGAGGGGCTGGGAGCAGCTCGGTGACACCAGGGCCGGCATTATCCCCGCCGAGGGGCTGGCGGTGCTCGGTCCCGTCCCGCTTTAGCACCGCCACACCGGAGCGCTGATGAATCAGAGCCRCCCCCGCTTCTGCCTCACACCCACCCCGCTGGCGCTCGCCAGAAATAACCCCCGGGAACGCGGAGCCGGGGCTGCGCCAGCCCCCCAATCAATCCCCCCCGGCCTGGGGGCTCCTCCCGGCCCAGGTGGGCGCCTGTCCCACCTCAGAGGTTCTCCCAATGCGACTCTCGCCTTCAATCGGTGCCGAGAACCCTCCAGAAAGGGCCCTTTTTGCCGTCGGGTCACGAAACGGGCGGAGGAGAAGCCCTGGCACTCGAGTTTGTCACGAAGCGTATGAGCCCGTTGATTCATCGGCTCTGGGCTCCTTTCACGTCTCATTTTATAGCACGGAAACACACACCGAGCTGCAATAACGTGACACCAGAGCAAAGCCAGCCATCATATGATTCCTTCAGGGCTCGGTTTGATTCACCAGACGATCTTTCTCCGCTCAGATCTCAGTGATCCTTTGTAACTCACCCGCTCCAGGCAAAGGTTACTGACTGAACCTCAAACCAACCGAGATTTATCCCAAAAAGCATCCAAATGCCGCCGCAAATGATGCTCTGCCCCGCTGTAATTCACGAAGCTGCTGCTACTTTTGTAAACAAGTGCAAACAGAGCCCGGGATGGGGTAAAAGCAGGACCTCTCCTCCCAAGGCGATGGTTTCGCCTGGACGTGCGYAGGTCAGCGTCTGATTTGGGGTAAATTCGATCCTCGTGACTCCAGCTCTGGTAGAACTCCAGATTCCCTGCTCTGTGCGAGCCTCAAGTAACAGTGGAGTCACTCCAGAGTAAGACTGAACCCTTTTTTTTTTTTTTTTAATCCTATCGATTTTAGCAGAGCCCTCTCCAGCTCATCCCTGTGGACAGCTCAGACCCACATTTTATTTCCCTTGGAGCAGTCACACCCCCAGCCAGGTTCCTTGACCTAGTCCTGACACCTCTGGAGAAATATTCACAAGGAACTCTCCGCCCTGCCGAGAATAGCTCCGCTGCCGCGGCGCTCCAGGTTTTTTTCCTACCAAGACCAGAAATAGTTGCATCAGCTCCCGATGGATTCAAACCTCAGGTGCTTCAGACACAAGGCGCGATCCAGGAAGCAGGATTTCACCTTCTGGGTCCTCTACCGAGAGCTGGGAGCAGATTTCCCAGCTGGTCTGAGCCCCACATTCCCAGAGAGATGGGAATTAGGATCTGTCCAAGACGCCAGCCCGAAAAACGCACCTTTGAGTGTATCCAGAGGTGCAATAAATGCACCGAGAGGGCCGAGGGTTCTYCACACCCAATTGTGAGCATTTCACAAAACCAGGACCCCCAGCCCCATTTTTYCACCTCAAACCCAACCGTCCACACTCAGGGAGCAGTGTAAAAATAAAATAAGGGACAATAACCGCCACCACTCCAGGGGCCAGGGCTGAAATATTCATTGCAGCCGAATGCTTTCTCCTCTCCCAATGTTATTGTCAAGGTCAACCYGGAGGCTGCATTTCCACCCATCCTCAAAGGGGGTGAGCCCCCCAGCAGCACGAGCGGGGCAGGCACCCAGTGCCGCACCCAGTGCCACCCCCAGCGGTGACCCCCAATCCCCCGGAGTGGCATCAGCCATCTGCTGTCTCGAAATGTCCCCCCCAGCGCTGGATGCCACCACCCTCATCAGGGCCACGCCTGATGCCTCCAGGCTGAGGTGTCCCCTCCATTAACCTCCCCAACCTGGCCCCGAGCATCCTCCCCCTCAAAAGACCCCGGTGGGGAGGGGGCACCCCCAGCCGGCAGCCAGCGGCCAGGCGGGGACACCCCCGGGAGCGGGACCGGGGCGCGGGGACCGCGGGGAGCATCCTTACCTCGGCGCTGCGGGGCTCTCAGCGAGGCTGCAACCGACCCGATTCCGGGAGAAACCGGCCCGGTCCCGGCAGAAASGGCGCAAATTCCCGGGAGGAATCACCCAGGTTCCTCCCGCTCCGGTAACGGGGGGGCGAGTCCGGGCGGCGGCGGGGCCGGTCCGAGGCTGCCGGGGCTGCAAGGAGCCGGGCAAACGGGAGCGGCGGTGACCGGGAAAGGCGAGCGGTGACCGGGAACGGCTCCGAGCTGCCGGCGGCTCCGAGGTACCGGCGGCTCCGCTCCGTGTTCCACCCCCCCCGCCCGCCACCGCCCGGTGGATGCGCGCTGGGTTCCCCGCTCGCCTTAGCCGGAGGGAGGTATCTCCGCTGGGCTCCAGGAAAAAAATAAAGAGAGAAAGAAAGAAAGGGAAAGCAATTTGAAAAAAATAAAATTTGGGAAAAAAAAAATCAACGCGAAGGGACACGCAGCCCCTGACGCAGGCTTGAGTCACCAGGACTGCGCGTCAAAGCTGGGGTGCCGGGCCACCCCCCCTGCTCCGAGGGAGGCTCTTACGTTCGGGGAAAAGTAACAGCGAGTCCTGTCACAAGGGGTGGGCTTGGTTGTGCTGTGGGGAAAATAAAACCCTTTCCTAAGGCTCCARAAGAGCCGCCCCGGGGGTGCCCTCCCGGCTGTGGCTGCCCCTGGAGAAGGGAGGGTTCGGGGCGTTCAGTCACCCCTTTCCCCTGATGGATCATCAGAGACTTGGAGAATGGTTTGGGTTGGAAGGGACCTTGATGGCCACCCCGTTCCACTCCCTGCCATGGGCAGGGACACTTCCACTGTCCCGGGGTGCTCCAAACCCTGTCCAGCCTGGCCCTAAACACTTCCAGGGATCCCGGGACAGCCACAGCTTCTCTGGGCACCCTGTGCCAGGGCCTCACCACTCCCAGGGGGAAGAATTTTTTCCTCGTATCCTAAATAAATAAACTTAAATAAATAAAATTTAATACTATATTTCATTATTTGAAAGAGATATTTCATGGGGTTTTTTTTTATTATTATTTGGTGTTTCAGAGGAATTTCTTTGGCTTAGACCATGCAGGAGCGAGGCAGGAGGAGTGGCCAGGCCCCAAAATCTGCTCCCCCTCCCTCAGGGTGAATCCATAACCTGTCCCCTGAGTGTGACAATRCCCAGTGCTGGTCCTGAGCCCTGTGACACTCGGGGGCCCCAGAGCCAGCACTGGGCTCAGAAGTCACAACTCTGGCCATGGCAGTTCCCTCTGCCAGAGGAGTGGGGCCAAGCTGGGGYGGTGAGATATTTGAGATAGGATTTATGAGATATTTGCATTTATTAGAGCATGGTTTGGGTTGGAACAGACCTTCAAGCTCATCTCATTTCACCCCTGCCACGGGGGACACCTTCCACTGTCCCACGGTGCTCCAAGCCCTGTCCAGCCTGGCCTTGGACACTCCCAGGGATCCAGGGACAGCCACAGCTGTTCTGGGCACCCTATGCCAGGGCCTCAACCCCTCACAAAAAAGAATTTTTTCCCAATATCTCACCAAAATTCCCCTTCTTTCCATGAAAACCCATTCCTCCTTGTCCTGTCACTCCGGTTCCTGATGAATTGTCCCTCTCTGGCTTCCTTGCAGGCCCCTTCAACTCCTGGAATGGCCTCTGAGATCTCCACCTTTAATGCAGATGATGAAATTATTCAGTTTAAAGGACCCCACTGTCCTTCCCAACAGGACACRKTTGGAAACAGCAGCACATTCCAGCKGGAGGAAGGCAGAAATACCCTGACAAAYGGCTCTTGAAGGTGAGCAAACCCCAAATCTGGCTTTTTAGGCCCAATTCCCCTCAGCCTCTCAGGCTGCTGSAGGCTTCAGCTCTTCCTATTTATTCAGTGCTGCCCTCCAAAAACCTCTAATTGGGTTAATGAGGAAAAGCACAGGGCTGTCAGGTTGGTCACTGCAGGGAAAACAGGGAAAAAGAGTTTTCAGAGGAGCTCACTGCCGGTTCAGTACCTCATGGAAAAGTCTCCCGGTCCTGAAAACACAAATTCAGCTCATCCAAACCCCAGCAGCGGAGCCTGGATGCATTTTACCAACAAGTACAATTCCAGTGCTGGGGATACTGGTACTGAGATCCAGTGAGAAACCCTGATAGGAGCAAGAACACACTTGTAAGACAAACTCCTGAGGATTCAAACCTCCAGCCCCAAGCACGCTCCCTCCAGCTCCTGGAACTCAATGTTTATGCACATTCCTGGCCTTTGGAGCCGTTTCCCTTTCCAGCCTATTAGGCACAAAACGATCAATCCTCCCAGGTGCTTGGGAGCCAGGCCAGCGCCGAGGGCCATAACTCTGCCTCTTCCCCCGGGAAGGAGGAAGCCACACTCCATTACCCCGGCCTGGCCGTGGGGAAGGCAGTGTTGGAAAGGGAACAGGCCCGTCACAATCATGATTTAAAAATCAAAACATCCTCCCCAGTGCAAAATCCACGGTGTCTGCTCGGATTGTGGCGACAGCTCCACGCAATCTGGGGAGTGATGGATGATGCAAATCACCCTGGAAGAGGTGGGAGATGGGTCACTGTCTGCCCAGGGCTGCTCTGGCTTGTGGTCAGTTCTTGTGACCTCTCCAAAGTCTTGGTGCTCTCTGTGTTTGAAATGAGGTGTCCTGGCACTGTCCTTGCTCTGGAAAATTGGTTTTGGTGGATGGAGAAGCCAAAAAAGCCAAGGATGAGATGCCCGGACTGGAAAAGGGAGATTTGGACTGAACAGACAGCCAGGACATCATCAATGGGAACACACAAGGGACAGGGTGGGAAGGCCCTGGCACAGGGTGCCCAGAGAAGCTGTGGCTGTCCCTGGATCCCTGGAAGTGTCCAAGGCCAGGCTGGACAGGGCTTGGAGCACCCTGGGACGGTGGAAGGTGTCCCTGCCATGGCAGGAGTGGGATGGATGAGGTTTAAGTTCCCTTCCCACCCAAGCCACTCTGATTCCATGACTGATTTCCAAAGATGTGGGTTTTGTCTCCATGGGAAGGTGGGCATGGGCTGGGAGTGCCAGGGAAGGGGAGGTGCAGGTCCCGAGGGCTGCAAGTGCTGGCAGCAGCAGCAAACTCCCTGCACACCCAGATTAAACAAAGATTAAGAGTGAGGAACCTGATTAAGGGGGTCTTAAGCAAAGAGAAATCAAGGATCCTTATTAAGGAGGGGCTGAACCGGCCATTCAGCTCCCTGCTCCTGCACATCTCATCAGGGAGCAGGGATGAGCCTGCTGGACATGGGGAGGCTGACTTAGTGACACCTCGAGGCGTCAGAAACCCTCCCCTGTGGATTTAAAATCTCCCTTTGGTTCACCACACATCACCAAAGCGTGGTAAACTGAGGCACGGGAAGATTCCTGGCTGTGTCAGAGCTAAAACCAGTGACTCAAAGCTGGGTTTGGGCTCTGCCATATGAACACTTTCAGGACCAGAAATTCAGGTTATGGCCCAG